CTTGTATATATCTGAGAGATAGATTTGTATTACTCTTTGTATTTTAATTTAAATTTTTACTTGTACATACACATTTATATATATGCCTTATTCGACACCAGTCTCTTGTTATTTTTGCTACTTTCTAAATTGTCTACTACTATTTTGAATTTATTATCACCATTTCTATATTTCCTCTTTGTTATTATAATATATTGTGATGTGTGAGCTACTGTGTCCAAATAATTTCCCTTGTGGATCAAGTCTAAGTCAGGAAAAAGCTGCAAGAGCAAAATTACATCCTTTTGCAGTTCTAGGTTCAAAAACATGAATTGGTCTATGAATTGGCCTGTCAATGGTGGAAGGGTTAGTAAAATACTGTACTTAAGTATAAGTACTAGGTATCTGTACATTTGTAGCACATTTGTAATTTAAGCAAACACAAATATACAAAGAAAAACAGCATGGAAAAAAATACTGATACAGTTGTTTCTATTGAAAAAAAAAAATCTGTACAAATCTTTCTCTAAATCTTTATCAAAATCACTACAGTTGAAGCTTTATTAGATCTCAAAATATGCGTGAAATACTTTTACTTTTTACTTTATTTGTAAGTACATTTTGAAACAGGTAGTTTAATACTTAAGAAGAATTTTTTCATGATACTTTTACTTGAGTAACTTTTTACCTTTGTATTTATACTTTTACATTTACCACCACTGTTGTTCATTAAAAAGCCCAATATTTACCATTCGGACTGAGGTCATTGCCGCTCATATAGGCCTGCAGCCTCATGTTGGAGAAGGTGAGGTTGGCCGTGTCCAGTCTGAACGTGGCGCTGCTCAAACAGCGATACGTGCTGTTCACTGGGGCCCAGATACCAACTGAAGCGGACACAACTGTCACCACATCTGTAAACAAGAAACAAGTACAGTCTATAACATCTGCAACAGTGAAAGTCATTAAATAAGGAGTCTCATCTAGCCTAATCTTGGCATAGTTGAATTGTATTTGGTTGAAAATGTATTTAGAGAACCATTTAAACTTAAAACTTAAGCCAGTTGACAAGGACAAAGTAATTGGAAACATTCAAACTGATAAAAACAGTATTAAATTAAGCAGCCGATGAGACGAATAATCTAAAAAGTTACAAAGTACTTGCAAAAAAAACAACAACAGTAGGAAAGTAGGCATTATTTATCTTTAGCAGCCTCTAGTGGAGTGGAATGTAATTGAAACATGAGGAATAATAATCAAGGAAAGAAATGAAAGCTTAAAATCACCTACATTATTTAATACTGATAATTTGGGCAGTTAATTTAATGTATATTTTCTCTGGATTATACATTTGTTTACATTAGTAACTAGAACTAATATGGCAAAGAAAGAAGGTATGCTGATTGAGTAGTTTTTTAATTAGTTATTAGTACTAGCAAAAGCAGTAGCCAGTATACCAAGAGTGTTGTTTAAAGAACATGTGATCATTTTTTGAACATCTTAACAAGACTGGACTTATTGCTTACTGGACAGTTAATGCTTGTTTGCCCAGTTTGTGTGATGAGTGTGGAGAAAGGGGTGTTTTTTTTTTGTCTAGTTTTGCTTTAATTCTGTATCATTTCAAAATTGAACAAAAAGAAGAGAACATGTGATCTTTGGCATGGCAGTAGTGGTATTTACGAATAGTTTTAACACAAGGACTCCATTGAACAGAGCATTATAACTGTTCCAATAGCGCCATCTGCTGCCTCTCACCTGAACTGTTGGCCTCAGGGAAGACTGTGGCATCACTGAGATTGTATTGAAGCGTGAGGTTGGTGACGCTGTACACGCTGCCGTTGGAGGTGAAGCTGAGGCCCAGGGCATGTCCTGACCCAAAGACTGCCACAAGCCACGGAGAACTGCCCGCTGACCCACAGGAGCTGCTGCCGGGGTCAACGGAGGCGGAGTCAGGGAGGGTGACCAATGCCGTCCGCTGTGGGGGAATACTTTATTATGATTTTTATGTCATCAATTCAGGCTTGATTTTACGTCTGACTCTTTCTGTCACACAAAAGTTTCACTACCACAATTTTTGGTTCATGAGCATTGCTAAACATAAAACTATTTAAAAGGCCCATATTATGCTACTTTCTGATCTCTGTTATAATCATGTCATTGGCAACAATCAAAAGGGACAAAAACAGTATTAAGGTGATTTGGGAAAATGTAAAAATAATCATCTAAAAACTTAAAAGAGTCACACTAACAGATGTTGTATTGTCATGACAACTACAACTTTTTAATTGGGAAATCCACAACCAATTCTGTCTCAGTTGTTTGGGGCAGACTTATTTTTTTGTTCTGAATGGATAATTTTGTTATTCTATCTGTTTATTTTGAAGAAATTAATGTTAAAGGTCATTTTTGTTTTTAATAAGACAAAAACAAACCAACCAAATTGAACCAACAATATGATAGTGAAGTAAGTTCAGCTGGCAATGGTCACTATTTTTTAAATAATGATTTAAAACTAGCAACAACACATGCGTTTTCATTTGGATCACAGTTTACCGTGCTATTGGAGGCGTTGTATGTGATGGAGAAAACTGCAGAAAGCTCAGCCTTGATACATGTCGAGTTTCCATCTGTCACTTCAAGAGTCACTGCCTGAATGGCACCTGCAAAATACATGAATTTAGAATTGAGACTGATAAAAACAACAATTATCAGTATATTTACAGTAAATGTATTTATTAACACGTCAGTGACAAATGCATATTGACAAAGGGCTGAGATTCTTATCATTAAATATGACGCAGCTGTTTTTTGTTCTATAAAAATTTATGAAAATAGAGGAGCCAAATGTTCCACAAGTGGTCTCCAGTATGCATGACTTCTCTGTTAATCTAGAACAACCATTTAAATTAATGTTAAATTCATTACCATTTAATTACACTGTTTTATGATCTATGTTTAAATGTTTCCTCACCAAAAACAAATCTGGAGTTGTGTTTTGTTTCTTTCACACATGTTTAACACACAAATCCTGCATAGTTAGGCTGAGTTCTTCTCTCAACCAGAAAACACTTTGTTCTACCTACTGATATTCATGTGGTGATATACAGGAAAAGCTCCACTGTCTTTTTAAACTCCATACACCTTCACTGGAATCATTTGGATGAATTCACAGCCCAACAAAATGTAAAGGGTAGGTGTTAACTTTAAATCCACAGCTTTATCATGTCACAAGGCAGAACAGAGCATTTTGAACTTTGGAGATGTAGAGAGACTAATAATGAAGTGTTACTTGAACACGTGTGAATGAAACAAAACACAACTTCTGCTATGATTTTGAGGAGGTAACAACATTCAAACACGGCTTAAAGAGCACAAGAATGGTCTATCTATTTCTAAGAACACAACTCCCTGTGTATAAAAATGAGAAGTAACAATTATACAACATATAAAACTATTGCGTGGGTTAAATGTTGTTAATATTCAGACTGACTGAGGCTGCTACAGGATAGTACGGCATCTATTACATAACTTTGTAACTGCCAAGATTTCAAATGGCCACAGTGACTTCTCTTTCATTATTAACGCCAGCTTTTGATTTTAAAGGAAATCTGCAGTGCTGTCAGTCAAGCACATCCTTTCCTGTGGTGCCATGAAGCTTGTAACCACTCTCCCCATAGCTCGCAGTAAGAGAGAGTTTACACAATATTAGACAAACTCATCAGATCATGCACCAAAGAATTACATTCAGACTTGTGCTGCACTTGTACAATGCAATCTTAAGAAAGATAAAATTCAAACATAACTAACCACATTTAGGTCAGGGATAATTTGTTACATTTCTATATTATGCCTAATTTTCTTTAAATCACATCAACTTTCTTTAACATTATGATACATGAGTTATGATTATTGTGGTATATAGTATAGTAAATGTTTTGAATGATTACTTCCCTGTTTACAAACCATTCCTGTAAAACCACTTCTGTGAAAGTAGTTATTTTTATTATTGGCTCTTGTTTCACAAAATTATTATCATTATTATCATTATATTATTATAAAACAAACAGTTATATTGTAATACCTGCAAATCACTGACAATTAAAGTCCCACTATATTTCCTGTTAGTTTTCCTTGAGATTGAGTATATGTATTGAATTTATGTTTTTCAGGTTGTTTTGTAGCTGAAATGTGACGCAATAGGACTTTAATGTAAAAATGCAATAGTCACTATTTGATTCTTTGCCAGCTCTGACCCACTGTCAGCACCCCAGTGTTTCAGCTTCTACCATAAACTGACTAAAGCCAATGGTCCTTTTGTGATGTCCACACAAAGCAGCACAACAATGGAGGAGGCCAGACTGGTCATTGAATCACATTAATTATACACTCTTACATTTCAACAGGCTTAAGCAGGGAAGAAAACACTTTCTACTCTATGTATATAGTTATCAGACCTTATGATTGCATGGTCATGTGAGACTTTACAACTGGTTTGACACAGGAGCATATCCTTATAGGTCATGGAACAATGTATAGGTTGTTTACAGCAGGTTTCTGTGCTGCTAGGGAAGGAAAATACTGACAAAAATGAAAATGTTGATTATATTTATTGGATTTTCCCAATAACATTATTCAAATTATATTTTAATAACGGATTAAGAATGTGCTGGAATGTGCCTGTAAAGGTCTTGGCTGAAGGTCAAGTATGACACAAAACATGAATGAGACAAAAGTGCATTTTATAATCCTTGTTTAAAAGATTAGACTCTGACTCGATCTTTGTGTTTCTTTGTGTTTCTTTCTGACGTCATTGTTAATAGCTTTAATTATAGAGGATATACTTGATATTCTAACTTGACACAACAAATTATACCCCACCTATTCTCTACCTTAAAGCAAACATAGAAGATAGGTTAAACGGCCTTTATAATCTTTAGAAGAAAAATTCTGTGATTCTTTGGTTTAAACTGGGTAGAGGCTTTTAGATATGGCAAAATCTGAACTGTAGCAAATAAAACTGTTACAAAAGGTTTAACCAAAAGCAATATATCTCTCTATTTACTAACAATAAACAAGATAGTTAGATGTTGGCAGCTGAACAACTGGATAGGCTATTTTGACTCCTAGAAAATTAACCTGGATACTGGATTAAATAGCATAAAATTACAGAATAATATGATACAAGGGAAATCAGTAAGACACATATAAAATGTAACTGGTCAATAAAAAAGGCCTATGTTATTAACCCTAACCCTAACAACTTCAACTAAAAACAAGTTTGTGCTATGCTATTACACACTAATAACAGAAATAAGCATATTTAACTAGATTACACAATAAAAAATAAAATCAGAACACATTTTAGTGACAGCTAGTCCACATGACAGTTGTTATTTTGCACTGCGCAGTGAACCGGACACGCTCCACGGCGGATCTGTGATAGCTGCGAGCAACATGACAATAAATAATACAAGAAAAATACTCACCAGACACCGCGAGCAAGACGACAACAAGCGTAACAAAAGCGTTTACGATCTTCATGGTTAATTAATAAATAAAAAATGCTATTTGTTTATCGATGCGTGTGTTTTGCACAGCTCGAGGCGCAGGTGGGTCGGAAACGCACTTGACTTTATTACAAAACTAGGCTACATCAGCGAGCAAACCCGAGCTATTACATACCGCGATGTTGTTTACGCCGTTTTTAAGGTTGAAATGTCAGATTAATACTCTTTCTTATGGTGAAATGTCGATGCTAGAAGCGGTTAAAGGCGTTTAGTCGCTAGCAGCTTCGGCGAATTAAGCCCCATGTATGTGATCATGTGAACCAGCAGCACCCAGACAAGCGGAGCACGGGCTGTCACGTGACTCCGCCCCCTCTCCAGCTCCTCTGATGTTTGCACACTGCACAAAGCTCTGATATTCTAGTATCAACCAGCCCTCCACTCTATCTCTGTGTCATTTATAAACTAACTTACCCCAAAAAAAATTACTCTTGTGAGCTTTAAGTCTTGATAAAATGTTGTCACGTTATCAAAAACATAGCTGGAGTTGTGTTTTGTTTAGGGTGACCAGAATTTCAAAACAAAAAACTGGGACATACTCGTTTTTTGGTGGTTGGCAATCATACAATTGTGAAATGAGTACGTAATTAAGGAAAATTGTTATGCAGAGACCATTCATGACTAAAATGTGAGCCAGTATAGTCAGATTTTTGTTGTGCTTTTTTGCTCGTTTTTAAGCAGCTTTTCTGTATTTTACCTGAAGAAATGATAATTTATGCCTCTCTTTACTTTTGGCAGGTATCAAATTGGGTAAAGATAGGGACATTTCTTGAATAAAACTGAGATATTTTTCTGTATTTTATTGTATTATGCTATTATGTCTCTCTTTACTTATAGCAGGTATCAAATTGTTCTGCAAGAAAGACACTTAGGACATTTCTTGTATAAAACTAGGACAAATGAATCAATGGTTTTGGATAAATCTGCTGGGACAGGGGACAGAGGGCTCAAAACTGGGACTGTAGTGGGTAAATAAGGGAAGTCTGGTCACCCTAGTTTTGTTTCATTCACACGTTTCAGTAACCCTTCATTGTTACAGGATAACCAGATGTTCCTATTTACCCAGGACAGTCCCAGTTTTGAGCCCCGTGTCCCTTGCCCCACCAGATTTATCCAAAACCAGTAATTTATCCTAGTTTTATACAAGAAATGTCCCAGGTGTCCCTATTGCTGAACAATTTGATCCCTGCTAACAGTAAAGAGAGGCATAATACAATAAAATACACAAAAACATGCTTAAAAAATGACTACATCACAAAGAAAATGTGACTATGCTGACTCACATGTTAGTTATGAATGGGCCGAGTGTTCCAGTTTTTTATTTAGAAATTCTAATCACCTTACATTATTAGTCTGTCTACATCTCCAAAGCTCAAAATGCTCTGTTCCACCTTGTGACGTCATGAAGCAGTAGTTTTCAAGTTAACAACTACCCTTTATATTTTGTTGAGCTGAATTCATCCAAATGATTCAACTGTAGGTGTATGGAGTTTAAAAACACCTTGGAACATCACAAGGTGGAACTGTGTTTTTTGACTGAGAGAAGAACTCAGCCAAACTCCAGGTACATTTTTGATGAGGACACAACATTATAACAAATCAGAAAACAGTGTATTATGGGTCCTGTAAATTAGCCAGTAATAAACACATTCAAAACTTAAATAGTCATATAAACAAATAAAAAGCTATAAAATGTTGGCTATTAGTTGGGTTGATTGAGCTAAACTATGTAGGTCAGTGATAATACTTGTGATAATATTGAAATGTGTCATAACAATGTGGGTATGTAGTGATAAAATTGTCTCTGAATCCAGTGCCGCTGTGATAGCACGTAAAGTGTCTTTCAGGACACAAACCAGTTCCACTTTTAATGTAACTTGCTCAACACATTTAGTCTAACAAGCTAAATCAAATTATATACATTAATTTATTTATAGAGCACATTTAAAAACAACCAAGTCTTACCAAAGCTGACAATAGTACACATTTAGCAGTATTTATAAGTGGGTATAATAATGTAGTAATGACTGCAAACAGCATCAGCACTAAACTCCTCTTTTTCAAGAAATAATATTGTTTTGAGTCATAAGGTTTTTATTCACTTCTTATCTTCTAATGTTTGCTTTATATTGTCACAAAATAAACAAGATAATTGTGGATAAGACCAAGATCCCTTTAAAATGTTTGTTTATTCTCCTGTTATTAAGTTCATAACTTGAGAGAGCAATGAGTTGTCAACAAGGCGCTAATAGACTGGTGGACTTCCTTGAACACAAGTGTGATTTTCTTTTCAGGGAAGCTACAAGTGTTCTGTATGACTTCTCAATTTTGACAGTGTGCAGATAAGATGGTGTTATAAACCACAAAAATTTAAATACTCACAAGTAAATACAAATAAAGAAGATAGTGGAAGACCTGGTTACATTTCAGTTTAACAAAATTTACCAGTTTGCTTATCTCCAGGGAAATGTTATTGCTTTGCCTGGAATGTTCCACAGTATGGTGCTAAACTTATTCATCTCCAGGGAGACAAGCAAGTGGTGCCTCCAAGCCAAATTGCGAGACAGATCTGTAGAGAAGAGATTCGCACAAGAAAGCTTTTGTCCCCATGCAAAAAAGTTATATAGTGCATCTTTAAACAGTAGTGACAATAAATATGGAAGCAACATATTTTCATTGGATTAGCGTTTAATTTAAAGATAATAGATGATGCAAAATTTACTTTTGTGGGCTATAAACCAGGTTAAAATGTTGTTACCTCATCAAAAACATTTTTATTCACACGTTTGAGTAACCCTTTATTATCATCTGTCTACACCACCAAAGCTCAAAATGCTCTGTTCCACCTTGTAGTGGACCAAACAGAAAGGCAAAGACAAGGTATAAAAATAAGTTTAAATTTAATAAAGTCAAAAAAGATATAATTTAACAAAGGCTCAAATTAGGCAAATTATTAACAAAAAAGCTGGGCCCAACTGGGGTAACTCAAAATCAAACTGAACAGAACAAAACTAACCCAAAACGACAAAGGAACAGGTGTGTTTAAATACCTAAGGACCAACTAAATCTAAACACAAGAGGGAGGAGTTATACTAATTAACTAACTAAACCAATAACTTAATCAAAGTAACAAAAAAGCAAATAATTATAATACAGAAAATAATAAGTGATAATAACGTGACCTTAACACAAACTAAACAAATTAACTTACTTTTAGTTCAGTATAGAGACAGGACAGGCAAATACAGGGCTAAAATCATCCAAATGATTCTAGTGAAGGAGTTTTCTGTTTGAAAAAAGAACTGAGAGCTGCAAATATGCTGGATTTGTGTGTTAAACATGGGTGAAAGAAACAAAACACAAGTCTAAGTGTGTTTGTAATGAGTAAACAACATTATAACATAAATGAGGAAACAGCGAAACACGGGCCCTTTAATTCAAGACTATCCATTAAATTAGAAACATGGTGCAATTACATGGGAATATCAACTAAACAGGCCAGCAAAAGCACCGGGCCTGTTGTATGAGACTATCTTACATCTCTTGAACGATTAAAGGCACTCCCCCATGTGACAGCCCCCGCGCACTGTGCTACAAACGCGCGTGTTGTGGTCGAGTCAGCTGACGGTTTTCCTGCGTTCACGAGGGAGTGCAAAACCCTCGAAGGAACGCGGAGGAGCTCCAAAGCGACGGTCCCAAGTTTTATCAATGCCCCGAGACATTTTACAGCTACAATTTAACACTGTTTTACATAAGGAAATATATGTAGATTCATTATGGTATTTTAATTGACAGAGCAGTTAGATTTAAGATGATTGTCTGTATTGTGTATGTGTGCATACCAAAATAATTAAGTGGGTATTCTTTCCTGCACTTATAAAATATTGTTTGTTTTTTCCTTTCGGTAAATAGTTCTGCTGTCTTGTATTCTATTCTATGTGTTATTAGGGTTAGGCAAGTGTTAAAACTCCAGTCTAAAACCCTGTCTGCAGAATAACTTTAGTGCTATGCATAATTTCTGTGTCATATCATTATAATATGATTAATGATTATGTTAATTAACTGAAGAAAAATAAACTAAGTACCTTTAATGATCCAGATTTGTCTTTATTTTGCAGGTTTTTTTTTTTAAATTAGGGGACAAAACTGACCATTTTACCATGTTCTTAAAACACCTGCCTGCTTCCTTTCTCCTGTCAACTCAAGAGACTTTGAAATCCAGTCTCCTCTTATTTATACATATTTTTGGTACATTTTATTGCAAAACTTCAACTCTTGATAGCAGCCTATTCATTTTTAGAGGCTCAGTTTAAGGTGGTATTGAAACAAACTGTTCATTAAGTTTTAATAAGGCCATAAGGGATTTTTAACAGAAGTTGTGAAAACAATAGCAACGATGCACTTAATTTCTGTTAAAAAGGCCCAGATGGGCAAGTGCTTGTGAACGTTTGTATCCTCACGAGTTAATACACTGCCAGCTGTTGTAAGAACTGCTACTTATCTATCCATCTAAATAATTCAGGTATAATAATAATTTATACATAATTACAATACAATAAAATAATAATTCTATATGATGATACCGTGTCATCCACTGTACTTTTCAGCTGTGGAAAACACTGGTATAGTTGCCTCCTTATTGTTTTGTATATTTTCATATTGGACCACAAGTCTGCAATAAAGATATCTACCTACCTAAACAGCAAGTTCAAGAGTGTTACTTCAACTTGTATGTTGTTAATTTTAACACTTTTACCATGTCATATAGGGTGAAATAGCTCATAAATGTTCGAAATCATCTTGTTACATACACTGAGTTTAGGGCAGGCCTGTCACAAGCATTACAATGACCTCATGTATTATGACCTAATACATTTACTTGCGTCACTATTTACAGATACTGTACTTTCTTCCCACTGTCAAAATACCAGACATGGGTACTATTTCATGTTTCATCCTCGCAATTGCATTAATTTTAAATTACTTTTTAAGTTACTTTTAACTTAAGTTATTTGAGAAGTACTTTCCCCGAGTACTTTTACTCTTAGTTACTTATCACATTTTTTGGAATTCTACTTTTTACTTAGACTTGAGAAATATTTTTTTAAGTAAAATTACTTTTAATCTACTACAATTTGTGGCTTTTTCACCCAGTTTTCATGGACATCAGTGACGGCAACATTGACTGTCAGAGCTAAGTTAGTTAGCCTACTACTACTCAATACTACTACTATCATTAGACCAAGTATATTTAGTGTTTCTATTAATTAAATGAACTGCAGTGTCCTAAAAAGGTAAAGTAATCTGACCCGGGGCATGTGAGAGCTCAGGTGGTTGGACTTGAGGGTCGCTGAGTTCAGCTTCTGCTGAAAAACAAAGGCTATTAGCTGTTAGCTATTAGCTTAGCTTCGGACGGTGAAATGTGGCTTCCCTTCCGGAAGCGCAGACGGAGAATGGCAGAAAATTCCAATGCTGGGTTGTTGACTATATTGAAACATATCTAGATTTTCTTCACTTTACTCACAACAACACCAGCACTGTGAATTTAATACTTTTGAATTTGCTGTGTAACTACCTACCTATCTACCCATCCATTTCATGGCCTTGTACTGACTTTAAATGGTCAAGTTTGTCTCTCTTTCTCTTACCCGCCTCCTCTTTAAAACTGTACCTTATTAAAAAAAACAAAAAGACAAATAGTTGTATTATTAAATATTTATTCAGCTTTACTTTTCTCACTCCATACAATCTCTTATACAAAACGCTGGGTGGTGACATTGAACATTTTGGTCAAAAACAACAAAGAAATCCAAAGAAGTGGCTTACCTGAATAAAATGTTGAATATTTTCAGACATAAAACATCTAACCCTCATTTCATTTTTGTTTTGTCCCTAACAACTCCAAACAAGCATTCAACTCAAAACTCAGCAGTTAATGCAGTCATCCACAACAGAAAGTCTCGAACATAAATTAAAACTAAATGTGTAGCTAAAGACAAACCAACTATAGTAGAAAATGTTTGATTAGTTGGACATAATAAAGAAAATTCTAATACAGAGGAAATAAGAGAAAAAAAAAAGGAAAAGTGCTATTTTAATTGAGCTTTGCATTAGCAGAAAGTCTTTGTGGAGCAACCATTATCAGCAATGTAGACCACTTCAAGCAGCAGTGTCTTACTCTGATCCCACCTAAACGTAAAGGTGCATTGTGTAACATTTCAGATGAAGAGTCTGGCACTTGCTAATCTTCATGACAAAGCTATTGTGTTAATTGGAATGTTCCACACTATGGCATTAAACTTTATATCTCCACAGAAACAGGTCAGCTCTGTGGAGAGGTGACTTCCACACAGCTGGAATAGTACATGTTCTATAATGTATTTTTGAGCAATAAAAACACCTGTAACTGAATAATAAAAGACAGATCTCTCACTCTTCTGTCTTCTCTTTTAATGTTCATTTCATGAAGATTATTAGTTTTGATTTGTCTGTATTGTGATTTTAATGTCTTTCCTATTCTGTGAATTACTTTGCTATACAAATTAACTAGCCTTGCCTTGTCTAGACATGTTTAATGCTGTACTGTGAAACATCGTTGACCAGGCATGTCCAAGGTTTCCAGGTGAATTGGCCCTCAGATTTCCAGGGGAATTGGCCCAAATTATTAATTATTACATCAATTACAAATTAACTTTCTACTGCAAGTTTATTTAATATTTACTGTGTGGTTTTAAGGATCTTAGCATGAATAAAGACTGATGGCTCATTTTAATGTGTTAAACATGTGCACATTTCAATTATTTCCTGTACTGAGCATCAGTCTATGGCTCTTGATCAGCCCTCTGCTTCATCTGTGTTTAGATATGTGGCCCTTGATGAAAACAGTTTGGACACCCTGCTTGTTTGGAAACAAGCAGGACATAGACGCCCCAACAGAAAAGTTACACAGTGCAACTTTAACACACAGTGGGACAATGCAGAGTGTAGTCCTGGTTTAGATTTCGGTCTGATGGCTGAAGGGCTGCGGTGGTTTGTGGAGGCTACTTGCTGTGATCGAACGCTAACGGTGAAGCTCCATCAGGCAACATAGTGGTACTGGTTTGGGGTCTCTTTGTCTCGCTCCATGTAGTCTCTGTCGATGAGAGACTCGATCCTCTTTTTCAAATCCCCCGGCTGTACAGTCACAACAGAAAAAATATGAATAATTTACAGTGTCTTATAATCAGGGTTACTATATCTAAAAGACAATTGAAATGAATAACACAAAGTAAAGAGTTCAATATCAAGTGAACATTGTGGTTGTCATATCATTAATGACACCATGAGAAAACCCATTATATAATAGATTACCAACAGTTTGTATAATAACATGATAAAATTGATATTAATATTTTGTACAGTTAAGTAAATGCAATCTGCCATCTTTCTTTTGGCTGTGTTGTCAGGGGTAGTAGTATAAGAATGAGAAAAGAAGAAACACCCAAATTAAATACCCATTGTAATTGCACATCTACTATTGATTGTTTTGAGGATGTCACACTCAGATGGGGGCAGAATCTTATATATAGCTCAATATTTCCTAATAAATATGATATGGTCCTGTAATAACATGACCATAGGATGTTGTGAGCTGATGTGAAGCGAAACCTGTCGTAAGGCTTAAATGTGTCACTGCGTTAGCGTGTTAGTTTGTCAAAGTTTAAGTTACCTTGACAGGAAACTTGAGCTGGTTGTAAAGCTCAGAAACGAGGAGGTTGTGGCTCAGTGTTTTTCTCATCTTCATGATACGAACCACAGCTGCATCGATCTGGTACTGTCTGTCCTGAAACACACGCTCTGTGGTGCTGACCTGCTCCTCCACCTGGACAAAACACAGGAAAAATCCCATTATTACTCAGTGAAACTATATCAGTGTTAACTTTGAATTTTACCGAACATCAAATTGTTAATTTCTAAGTCTAAAATGCATCGTTTTGTTTGCCTGGTCAGCCAAAACCACAAGCTTTTACAAGGCAAGGCAAGTTACAAATTACAATTACAAAGATGTTTGAGTCTTGAAACCACATCCTATCTCTAAACCAAACATGACAAACAAAATAACTGAGGACATAGAAAAAAAATCAACAAACGAGGCACTAAACTCTTACATATCTGAAGTAAGAAGTTTTTTAGATTTTGTTCTGAGTGATATAAGGATATTCGAGAAGAAGGTTTCCACATTTGAGAGATAAGTGCAAGAACATTATTAGTCTCACTCTATAGAAATATCACAGTAATGCACAAGAGGCTTTTCATACCGTTTCTTTCATCTGAATCTGGTTGATCTTGATACGGAAGAGTTTATGTTTAAAATCATTGTTGAAGTTGAATCGATCTCCATCTTCCACGTCTTTCCCTCGGGGCATTTTGTTGAGGACTCGAGCTTTTCCACAGGCCAAAGACTGCAGCGTGCGCCTGAGCTCGCCCTCCTCTGAAATACAACAGGAGACATAATATCAGATCGATATATTTCAAATAACACCATAGGGTGGGGCAATTTATCAAATCCGTGTGTAGAGTTTACACTTGGGAGGAAGAAATGTTATTGCTTTTGTGTTAAATGGCAACACCTAAAGGTTTGTATTGTTTATGTTTATGCATGAAATCAAAGAGTTTTAATTTGTTTGTTTCTGAAAAGAAAATCATTTAATAAGATTGAGATAAATCAATGAGGACTCCCTTTTATTGCCCAGTTACACACTACATAAATTAGATAATTAACAATGACCTATGCCAGTAGCTGTGCGTATTTCCTCAATACTGAATTCTTCTCCCTCGTTGAACATCAGCAGCACCAGAGTTTGGAACAGAGACACCTGGACCTCTTTCTTCCCCTAAAGTGTAAAATAAACATGTTTTGAAATCTTGCTCATAACACAATGCTTTTATCTCAGTACATTATAGTGATGTGATTACCTCTTTAAACTCGGCCTTGAGCACAGCGTGGCCCAGTGTGGGCTGCCACTGCAGTTTCCTCCCACTGTGTTTGCCCAGATAAAAGAGCTTAAATACCTCCTGGAGTTTCACCATCTACAGGTAAAAACATACCATATGTTACAGCCCATTTAACAGCATGGGTACCTTTTCCAAATCATATTCTGTTAAAGGTGCACTATGTAACTTTACTGGCAGAGGGGTTCACTACTTGCTTGTCTCCAGTGTTATTGTTTTTTTTTCCTGGAATGTTCCACAATGTAATATTAAACTTATCTTATCTCAGGAAGTGAAAACATCTTTTCACAGAACTCTAACCTGAACATTTTATTGTTTTAGTGTGAAACATTTAAGGCAAAGCAATAATATCTCCATAGAGACAAGCAGTTGAAGAACCCTCTACCAGAAAAATTACATTGTGGACCTTTAAATAACCTTAACTGAACTTTCCATCCATATGAATCTTGTGTGGAAAATTGTATAATGTTTTTTTTACAATGACTGCTGTTTCACTATATTTCTAAAGACCTTAAGGTGTTGGTCCACATTAAACCTCATGTTTGAAATCAGCTTTAATATCTTTTGTCAAGACTATTTAACTTTTTCCATGACAGGAACAGTACCTCAGTGGGTAGGTGCACGTCCATGGGGGTGTATGAAGGCCAGTAGCCCATAGTGAGGATGTTCACAGTCAGCTCTATATTGCTGGGCTCACTCTGGTTCTGCATATACTGTAAAACACAGAACCCAAATTATGCAGTTCATTATACTAGTTTATATAGTTCACATACTATTAGATTTGGTGTTAAAGTTGGTAATTACCTGTTTGAATTGAATCATTATATCTTTGGATAGCTCCATGTCTTTAAACATCCCCTCTAATTTACTTGTAAAAGCCGCTCCACACTCTAGTAAGAACAAAACACAGATTTTACCTTTGCTAAAAAGTATTTCCAGTTTCTTTACAAAATGTCCAATTACTGGTACAATAACTGGTACAAAAGCAAACAGAAAACTTTAATGCAACAGTGTTTACCATGTTTAAGCTTGGACAGCATGGACTTTTCGGCATCTACTGACGCACTCTTGCCAACCAGAAGTCGCTTTGCAAGGTCTTTCTTGTAAAAAGCCTCAAACACATCCTTTCCTGTAGATCAAAAAGTTCATGATGCAGTTTTAACAATATGAAGTAATAACTGTAACTAACAAACAAGGATTATTTGCCTTTGATACTTAATTTTGCACATTTTAGCTTAATTCACAATCTGAGGAGTGAGTAACGAACCATGAATGAAGCGAAAGATTATCATTATCTTGTCCAGGATTCGCTCCAGTTCCTCTTCTGTAGCCTCCTTGTTTCCTGCTCTTAGCTTTGAGTCTACATACTTAGCTGAAAAAAAGACACCAGCATATCAAATAATGCCTCAAAGAAATGAAATAAGAGAAGACTACAGAATAATGTCTGACCTATGAGTTCAGCGGGTTTGTTGGGCCTTTTGTTGATGAAAGTTTCAAAGGCTTCCTTCATTGAATTGATGAAACCCTCGTTGCGAGCAAAACAATTGTGAGCCACATTGTCCATTTTGTCTTTAAAGTCCAGCAGCTCCTGCACCATGTCCTTGTCTTTCTCTGGTGTACATACAATTTCACTGCCAAAAGACTATGCAAAAATATTAATATATTTTCAATATTCACAATATTTTATTCAAGATTTTAAGAGGAACATATTCCATTCAATTTAAGGTGTTACCTTGATGTATTCTCGCCAAAACTGCAGCAGAGTAAGAAGTCCTCCTTTGACTTTACTGAAGAGCTGGTACAAAAGAGCCAGCTCAGTGACACGGTTCTCATCTAACAATGTGCTCAAGCCTGAAAAACACAAATTCAGAAATAATATACTCATTGGACCTTACTGCATGCCATTTTTGTGTGGAGAAAAGTCTCGCCTTTGTGCAGTACTGCGGTCAGATGTTCTCCTAATAGTTGTTTTTCAACACAGCTAATGAGTGGTTTTCTGCAAAAAAAAAACAAAAAACATCTATTAGTTATGTGACTATACCAGAAGTCCAAAATACATACAGGACAATGACTTACTGAGTGCTTTGGTCGAGGTAGCTCACAATACGATCATTCTCTTCTTCTAGTCGTCGAGCCACATGGTGCAAGTACTCAGGCACCTGGCCACATAATAAATTTTAAAAGAGTACATAAACCTCTGAGTGGAACCAGACACTGCTTTTGGCCTGTAACTTTAAAGCGCTAGAAAATCAGAACTCACATCCCTCTCCTGCATCAGCCGCTGTCCCTCTGCTGCATACAGGCGGTTGGTCTCAGACAAAAACTTCTCCTCAAAGGCTTCCTTATACACCTGAGAAACATCAGAGGCTTTAACACATGCTCATTATACTTTATTTTCATTTAGTACTAATAACACTTACCTGCAGGTCAGACAGCATGCCCAGCAGACTCCTGAGGAGACTGCGGTCTACTGTCTCTCCATTTCGCTCAAGCTCAATTTGCTCCAAAATACCATCCACTGTACGTTTTTGAACAGCCGCATCGCTCACAATGTGTGTGCGGAACAACTCTAGGCCAGTGTCCCTAAATAACAGTTCATAGAAGGGATGAAATTAAGTAATAGAAATAATAACAATAACAATAACAATAATAATAATAATACAAAGGTCATTACCAAATTGAAGGGAGCAGAGAATTCTGGAGAACATAGGTTCGATCAAGGAACAAAAAAATACTCCGGATCATAATCTAAAGCAGGGAAGTATAAAGTTAGAGGCATTAGGAGATCAACCTTGATGTGACCAAATCAAATACTAAACCTTACAGTTTGCCTGCAGTGGTCCTGCCAGCAGCGATTCATTCGCTTCAGGAAAGAGAGGTTGTCTAAAGACTCTGTGAGCTCACTATTAAGGTAAATTAACTTCTTAAATGACAATACTTTTTATTGTACTTGTGTAATTTAATCAAACTTATTACAATATTATAAAAAAGGATATTCCCTGAACTGGTGGATCTGAGCTTGAACATGGTCCTCACAAACCTGCCGCAGCTGTTTGTACAGTGTTGGAGACACTTTGTAGGAACACAGGTTTTCTACTGCCTATAAATCCCCCCCCCCAGAAGACATGTTATTATAGCAATATGTGCTTCACTGTTGTGAAAAATACCATACAGGTTATGTTATATCCAGATTTTATTACCACTGTAAAACATACCTGATAGAGCTCCTCAAGATTGTATTTGATTGAAGTGCTGTTTTGGATTGCATTCACTGCCTCTCGTAGTTTCAGCCATGTGTCTTCTGTGTAATTCTCTGCTAGTTTGGGTCGATCTAATACCAGTGAGAAAAAGATCTTGTGATGTATACAATAATAGTTAGGGAATCTAAAGTTTTACGTGATACTGAAACTCCATTAATATCAGTATGACATGTTTATACAAACACCAATATTAAGCTAAAGATAGTAAACAACTAGATAAGGAACTAGTAAGTACATAACAGAGATGGCATAAATATGTCAACAATATAAGCAACAGAAGAAATAGCAGAATACTTGGATGATACTTAGGATTGATGAAAAACACGTAGGGTGTACCTTTGAAGTTTTTAATGACTAGTTTCTTGGAGGCTCCTGCTTTGCCCGAGGCCACAGAGGTCCGGGGCATCATCCCGTTGGAGAAGCTGGCTCTCTTTTCCTGTCGGGTGTCTTCTGCCATTATCAGATTAGCGCTTGGACTTAACACTGTGTTGTTTTATTTGTTTTGCTAAGTTGAGTTTGTTTAGTCGTTTGTTTACACTCACAACTTCAGCCACTTATCTTTGGACCAGAGCATAAAGTGTCTAATTAAAAACGAGTAAAACAAAGCACCCCGTAACGTTATTTAGCACGAAAACATTACTGCTGACAGCTAGGTAAACAGATAGCTACTGCAGCACAAGTTAGCACTGGCTACCACTTTGCGTGTTTTCATAGCACTTTAGCAATAGCCTTCAAAGCTAGTCCATACCTTTTCCGGCTAGTAAAGCGTGATAAAGAGTTGGGTTTTGGGGTGTTTAGACAGTAGACAAATGCGTAAAAGCGACATTGTTAGCGATGGTGTAATAAACGCTTGTTACTAGAGTCTTTCTTTAACCGACATGGCTAGGCTAAGCTAACAAAATGGCTTTTCTGCACAGTTCTATTAGACAGGTGCATCTTGGGTGAAAGAGCTGCGTTCGCGTACATTCTGTAATTTCGCCCGCGCTTCTGTAACATAGTCAAACTCTGTATTTGCTGTGCGTTTTGTGGTCATCCATGGTGTGTGTTAATCTCATGATAAAATGGTTAGACCTGTTATATTAGGTTTTAGTAGCTATTGTTCTTAAATCATAGCTTTATGGGGCGGTGTTTGTAAAAGGTTGATTTGTGTCTGATATTTTAAACACAGCACAGAATCACCTGCGTTCATTGGAGTTAGCGAAAGGGTGGCACTGGCACTGGGTACCAGGCGAACCAGTGAAACCACACTTTCTCCTGTCAATGCGGGCTTTACCCAGGCCCTTTACTTCTAACCCCGGCACAGCGGCATGGATAAGCCTTGGCTGCGGGCGGAGAAGTAGGGTTTGGCGGTGTCTGACCCCAGCCTGCCTTCGGAGAGCTGAGGTATGTTTGCGGCTAACAAGAGGAAAAACTAGCACTGGGCACAGGGTGGGAGATGGTGCAGAAAGCATCTACCAAAGGGAGGAGAGAGCAAAATCACAGTCCTGTTTGTCAGGCAGACAGATTGGAGTAAAGCGTGTGAAGTTCAGTTGCCTCGTACCAATAATGCGTTATTACACTGCAAAAATGTCATTAGCAGGCTTAAACTGGCTAGCACAGAGCACACAGCTGACTGATCATGTTAGCCTTTTAACTCTACCAGTAACTCTATATCCACAGTGCCCATAGTGACAAGAATCACATGGATCTTTTATAAAGGCCAAACCATATTTACATAATTAGTTGTGTAGTTTGTTTTGGTTGCAAGCTTGGTTTGAAGCTAGCTTGCTAGTTAGCATCGTCATTTGCATATTGACAGCATTCTCTCTAGTTTTCTGGGTACCTCTTTAGTTAATAGCCAAATTATATTATTTTCATGTTTCACACCCTGTTGTTATAAAATACTGTCACAAGATGAAGTGAAAGGACAAGTCGCTTTAGATACAAACTAACAGTGAGTCAATTAAACATATATAAAAAGTCTTGAATAATCCATCTCACTATTAACTGAAAGTTATAGTAATGTTTCCAATAATGAATCCACTGCCTAAAACAAAAGCAAATGACAATTAATGTTTAAAATCAAACTCTATTAACTTCATTGTTTTGTCTATGTAGTGTAGATGCTGCTGTTGAGATGAGTGTGAAGGCCTTTGAGCTGGTCCCCGCTGTGGAGCGAGAGCTCCTCATGGGAGACAAGGCTCGAATCAACATTGAATGCATTGAGTGCTGTGGAAAGCACCTGTACATCGGCACCAATGACTGCTTCATCCACCATTTCCTTCTGGAAGAGGTCGCTTCTTCAAAGGGAAAACTGAGTTTTTTGGCTCAAAAGCTGCTTCACAAATATCTGGGACTCAAGAAGCCAGTTACTGAGCTGCGGGCTGCATCGGCTTTAGAGCGACTGATCGTGCTCTGTGATGGAGTGCTCTTTCTTGTTGACATGTTGACACTAGAAACTCCCCCTGGAGCTGGAGGAGCCAAAATCAGAGGCGTCACTACATTCTGCATTAATGAGAACCCAGTCACTGGAGATCCCTTCTGTGTGGAGATGGGGATACTTTCCTCAAAACGGCGGACAGTGCAAATTTTTATGGTTTATGAGGACCGAGTGCAACTGGTGAAGGAGGTGAACACACCGGAGCAGCCTTGTGCTGTCTCTCTCGATGGATACTTTTTGTGTTTAGCTCTGACCACACAATACATGATCTTGAACTACAACTCTGGAGCCAACCAGGACCTGTTTCCCTACAATAGTGAGGAGAGGAAGCCTATAGTGAAGAGAATTGGCAGAGAAGAGTTCCTGTTGGCAGCACCCGGTGGTCTTGGTAAGATAAATGGAAGAATTTGCATACTTAATTATTAGTAATATTTGTAATGCTTTTATATGTTCATATGTTTGCCATCCCCAGGTATGTTTGCTAATGCGGAGGGGGTTTCCCAGCGTGCTCCAGTGAACTGGTCTGAGAGCGTGATGGGTGCTGCGGTTTGCTTTCCTTATGTCGTGGCCTTAGACGAGAGCTTCATCACTGTCCACAGTATGCTCGACCAACAGCTCAAACAAACTCTGCCTTTCAGGGATGGACACATTCTACAAGACTTTGAAGGTATTTATTGACAAACCGTTTTCTGTAGCAACTTTCAGTATGTAATTTAACATACTCTAAGTATGTATGTGTTTTGTAGGAAAAGTCATTCTAGCTTCCACTAAAGCAGTGTACATATTAGTGCCATTGCCCCTTGAGAGACAAATCCAGGATTTATTGGCCAGTCACAGAGTAGAGGAAGCCCTTATTCTCACAGAAGGAGCACAGAGGAATATTCCCAAAGAAAAGTTTCAGGTACATTTTCATTGGTAAATACACTTACCTGTTAAATATGGGTTACTTAATATGTTTATGATTGTTTCTTCACAGATTTTGCACAAAAGGATCCTTCAGCAGGCTGGTTTCATACAGTTTGGCCAGCTTCAATTTTTGGAAGCAAAAGAACATTTTAGGTACATTTTCCTTTTTTTTTTCTTAATGGCACTTTATACCACAACCAAATTCAAGAAGTCTTTGTCAATTTATGATGCTTTGCGTACTACAAAGGTCATCCAGCAATAATATTTCCAATCAACCTTTAACCCTTAAACTGAAGGAATACATTGAATTAGTAATCTAAATGCTTTTGTGTTTCTCCAATAACCTGTATATTTCATGTTTTTGTTATTGTTGTTTTTTTTAAGAAAAGGGCAGTTGGACGTCCGGGAGCTCATCTCTCTTTACCCACTACTGCTGCCTTCCTCTTCCTCCTTCACTCGCTGCCATCCTCCTCTTCACGAGTTCGCTGATCTAAATCACTTGGCTCAGGGTGACCAGGAAAAGGTCCAGAGGTGCAAGAAGTTCCTCATCAGTTACTTAAAAGAGGTAAGTCTAGATTGATTGTAAATAATGTTTGATAAATGGTTAATATTAAACTTTGACACTTAGGTGCGAAGTACAGAGGTGGCCAATGGCTGCAGAGAGGATGTGGACACTGCACTGTTGAAGCTTTACGCTGAACAGGATCATGACAGCCTTTTAGATCTGCTCGCCTCTGAAAACTTCTGCGTGTTAGCAGACTGTGTTCCATGGCTAGAGAAGTATCACAAGTAAGTATCATATGTTTTTAAGATCCTGGATTACACAAAATGACTCTTGTGAGCTTTAAGCCATGTTATAATGTCGTTACCTCATCAAAAACATACCCAGAGTTGTGCTTTGTTTCATTCACATGTTTGAGTAACCCTTTATTATTAGTATGGCTACATCCCCTAAGCTCAAAATGTTCTACTTTGTGATTTGTGAAGCAGTAGTTTTCAAGTTAACAGCTACCTTTTACCTTTTATTCAGCAGAGGTTGACAGTTCCAGAGCTGAAATTATCCAAATGATTCTAGGAGTTTAACAACACAGTGGAGCACTTTCTTCATGACCACATGACATCACAAAGTGTAACACAATGTAAAATAGTTGACTTATATTTTTACCATTGCTGACATTAAAATGTGCATACTTGAGGCTTATTTCTAGAATGGAGTGGACTATGATGGAATAGTATTAATATTTCAAAATCAAGCATCAACAAGGTCTTTATAGATGCACCCCACAGACTGAAATGCAATTTTAAGTTTCATTTTGAAAACCATTTGTTGTTGTAATCGTTTTTTTTTTTTCCACTCAGATATTTTGCACTAGGGCTTCTTTACCAGTACCATGGTCAGGATTCAGCGGCTCTTCAGGTACATCTTCCTAAACAAGTGAACTTTTTGTGTTACTGAAGGCACACTCACTTTTCTCTTTCTGCATTTTTAGCTGTGGATCCGTGTGGCAGATGGAGATTTGGAAGATGCTACGAGGTCTGATCTGTTCGAGTATATTGTAGACTTTCTCTGCTCCTGCTCCAATCTGGATCTGGTGTGGAAGTATGCAGACTGGGCCTTACGCAAGAATCCCACTGTAAGTTACTGCCTTTCTTGCTAGACTTATAAAATTGTTAATTATTATTTCTACCAACACTTTTAGTGCTGGTGTTGCCATACATAGTCTTATGCTAAAGAATTTCTTATTTCAGTTAGAGGGCAGTTAATTTAACTTTAAGCGCTTTAAGTGCCTTAAAGGTGGAAAAGTGTTGTATAAAAATGTGACCATGTGATCACTTAATTGGATTTTCATCAAATCAGTAAATTCCAATCATCAAGGATCAACTATAATGAAATTGAATTGAAAATTGAGATTGATAAATATGAGTAAAAGAATTGTAATTCATTTTTTTCTTGTGCTCAAGCACCTCTTTCAGTACACAAAGATGCCTATTAAATATGACTTGCATCTTATAATTGGGCATTTTTAATTTATTTCTTTTCAGATAGGAGTTCAAGTTTTTACAAAAAGAATTGTCCGTAAAAATCAGCCGGAACTGTGCCCCGATGATGCTGTGACGTATTTGACGAAGCATCGTGAGGCTCTGTTGCTTTACCTGGAGCACCTGGTCCTCGAGAGGCAGATTCAGGTCAGAATTCACCAAATGCGACATTCCCAGTTTGTGCCAAGTTCAGCACATTGCATCTTACACGCACTGTTCAAAAGTAAAACCTGGCAATATTTACCCAATTAAAAATGAAAGAAACAGAGACTGCCTGCTTTAGTTGTTATTTTTATACACTCTTGTGTTTATATTTACAGAAGGAGACGTTCCACACCCACCTGGCTGTGTTGTACCTGGAGAGGGTTCTGGCGTTGATATCGGAAACACCTTTGGACGAAGTGCAGCTGTTGAAGGCACGAGACAGACTGCAGGCTATGCTGCGCGAGTCCAACCTTTATCGTGTTCAGTATCTTTTAGGTGCGAAACTTTGTCTCTCCAATAATAATAGTATTTCATTTAACGGTTTATATATACAGTTTACATTGTGAGTGTCAATCACTTTAGTAATTAAAATAGAAAGGATTCACACTGTAATATTCCATGCAAAAAAAAAATTACATCTCTGTGGGTTCAAGCAGGTGATGTGGCCCTCCACCAGAAAAGATTGGTAATAATAACATAACTACAACATTAGAAGTTAGAATAAGTTGACAAGTTTTTCAATCCTCACCCATTCTGAACTATACTTATCCTATCAAATAAAAAACAATTATTGTTAGCATCTAATTCTTGTAAATGTAAATGACCATATCTTATTCATGTTGCAAAAAGGAGACATGAAATCCATACTTACTGTGATCCTTTTTTGCTCTCTAAATTTTCTAGGTAAAATAAACAACTGTGAAAGTCTGTTGTTGGAGCGGGCCACACTACATGGCAAACTGGAGGAGCACGACAAGGCGTTGCACATTTTGGTTTATGAACTCAAGGATTTCCCATCTGCAGAGGCCTACTGTATATGGGCCTCTGAATCCAGGGACTCCGCATATAGACAGAAACTCTTCCACCGTTTATTGGGAGTGTATTTAGACACGCAATCCCAGGGTGCATCAGCAGGGGGCGGTGGCGAGCTGGAGATGGCGGCTGTGGACCTTTTGAACCGTCATGGGGAGGTGTTTGATGCAGTTCAAGTCCTGAATCTGCTCCCTGAAGGATGGTCCCTGCAGCTGCTGAGGCCTTTCCTGGGTAGAGCGATCCGGGCCAGTATGCACGCCTGCCGTACATCCCAGATCGCTCTGGGGCTCGCACGCTCAGAGAATGTACAGCTGTTGAATGACAGGGTAAGAGCCTATTCTGTTTTTCTTTGTGTGTACAGAAAACATTTTAAGAGTAATCCAAAACATAAGATAAAAATATTTATCCAGTGTTAGTGTCTGTGTATTTTGCACATAGTTTGAGGTCTTCTAAGGCCTTGATTTTCATGCTTTGTTTTGTTGTTGTAGTTATATTTTTGTTTGCTCAAACTAAGAATCTCTTAAAAACAAACCCCTCAGCCTTTTCAGCAGGTCTTAAACAATAATAAAACACTTTAACTTTTCAGTTCTGTAAATGTAGTGGAGTAGATACATGCTCTCAGATGTAGTGAAGTAAAAGAACTTTAAATATACTTCAGTAAAGAACAGATACCTAAAATTTGTACTTGAGTACGATACTTTACTACTTTTACTTTGTTACCACCATCAAACTTGGCAAAAATTGGTTAATGTATAATATAAGGTGTGTGTGTGTGTGTATATATAATATATATATATAATATATAATATATATATATAATATATAATATATATATAATATATATATATATATATATATATATATATATATATATATATATATATATATATATATATATATATATATATATATATATATATATATATAATATATATATAGTGTGTATATATAGATATAGATATAGATATGAGAGATATATATCTCTATATAAGAAGAAGAAAAAAATATATATATATAATTTTTTTTTTTTTTTGTAGACCTTTATAGACTTGTAGACAGTATTTCAAAACTATATGGCATCATACACAGAAATAAAATAATTAAATTCAAAATTTCTCATTAATGTTTATATTTTCAAATAAACTCACTTATACTTTATACTTTCTGATTTATCTACGAACATTATCACCCTCACTTGCTTCTGTGTTTCTTACAGTTAAAGGAGAGGAAGAAACCCATCCTGGTGTCAGACAAGAAGGGCTGTTTCATGTGCCACAATACGTTCAGTGAACCGGAGGTGGTGTGCTTGCCCGGGGGAGTCCCAGTCCATACGCATTGTGTCGCCGACCGAATCCAAAACTCACCCTCCAAAAAACATTTAACTAATAGCAGTAACCACACGTGAGACTTTGAAATCAGATGTTGTTTAAAAAGCACTAAACTAAACCCAAGTCTTATTATTGTGAGAGGTTTTCGGAACAAGAAGCACAGAAAGTTGGTGCAAGATCAAGATTGTGAAGAAATGACGTGAGCGACGAGGGGAAGACTTGAAAGCTATTTTACTTGCCTTGAAAAATAAACGTGTGATCCATCCTTTATGTAAAAGAGGTCAAAATGATACAATGCACCATATGTGTTCTACTCTGGGGTGAGTAATATTGCATGGACTTATAATACACTTCTAAGATTTTCAGTCTCATCAAGTACAAACACTTCTGACTATGTTGATGAGTGAAAATCTTTAAGTTCATTCTGGGATGTGCTCTTTGCTGCTTGTATTTTGTACCATTTCTACTATGTTAATTCATGGTTTCCTGACAACACTTTTATTTTCTGTTTTAGAGCTGTGAAGACATTTGTGCAATAATGAAACAAAAAACAAACTTAAAATTGGCACACCTGAAATGTTGCTGCATGTCAAAGCCAATAGATATGTTGTATCATAAAAGGTGCACTGTGTAACCTTTCTGAAATGGTGCCTGCCAGCTTGTCTCCAGAGAGATATTATTGCTTTGTCTGGAATATTTGACAGCAATGTATTTTACCTGCTTATGTCCGTGGAGATAGATACGTTTAATGCCATACTGTGGAACTTCTCCGGCAAAGCAAAAACATCTCCAAGACTCTCCAACAGAAAAAAACACAAAAAAAAACATTGGTTCAGCTTTACTTAACCTAAAAGAGACTAGATTCTACATGTGTTTTTGCTCTGTCTATCCAGATCTATGCCAAACAGCACCACAGGGCAAGCAAAGAATAATGTTAAAGCTGCTGTTAAAGATGTAAAATGGCCTTGAGTTTTGAGCTGAATTTGCTAAAAGAGAAAGCGGTTCGAAGTTTACTTTTCCATGTCAGCACAAAATTAACTGTAATGGTAAAATGATGGCAGTGAAATTCCTCAGTCTTATTGTTGATGTTAGGTTTCAGACATACCTTTGTGTCACAAGATTTATTGTGAGTTTGAGCATTCAATCATGAACTATTCATGACATGTTTTGATAGACTTCATAGTGTAGTTTCTAACACAATATATTAATTTTGCCCTCCATCCAGATTTTAAGCGTGAACATCCTGTATCAGTCTCAGTAAAAAGTAATCCCAGTGAATTTGCCTTGAACAGAAAGTGACTTTGACCTCTTCAGGCTCCATATTATAACACTGAACATATGTTTATAATACTGTCTGATTTCAGCCAATGTAACAGCACAGTTGTATGTGATGTTTTATCTGTAACGCTTTTGTCTAACTAAACAAATGAACTTGGATCTCCAGTGCTCTAAATCATTTATGTACATTATAATCTCATAAAGTTTAAAGGATACTGGGTTATTTTCCAAATAAACCTTTTACAGGAAAAGGGTCATTACATTCTTTGTCTGTGTAATGTGATGTTAATTCATAGTAACTGGGTGTATAAATCACAGGTATTATTATATTAAAGGGAAAGATATGTTGATCACATCAAGCATGACCAAGAAAAGGGCCTGCAGCTTTCTGACGGGCAAAACCAGCAGCCATTCAATTTGTTGTATGTATAAAGAGCTTATTAATGGACTTTATTAATTATTAATTAACCACCCAAAGTGCTTTTTAGTGCAGTATTCATTCACTCAACACTCTAGCCGCATCCGCCCTGGGGTAGACTGACCTCCAACCAACACGCTCAGCGGTCTTCCATCCAAGTACTAACCAGGCCCGGCCTTGCAAAACTTCTGAGATCTGACGAGGTCAGGCTTTGACAGGCTTATGGCTCATCAGAGTTAAGAGGTCAAAGAGCAATGTACAAAGTTGACCAATTCAAAAAAGAATGTTTATTTAAAAGAAAAGACTCATCTACAGACTTGAGGTATGTTACATTTTGGTTGCTTTTATTTGGTTGTTATTTGCTCTCATCTTTAGCTGAACATCATCTGAAACTTTGGCTTCATCATCTCCAGAATGGTTTTGTTGACGTTCTTTGTCAGATCATTGATTTTCATGATGACTTCGTTTGCTTCTTTAAACAGCTTCTCCCCAAGAGCTGCTTTGACTCGGTCCCTCCAGGCGCTAAGCTTCAGACGCCCTTCAAACACATCCACGCCCGTCCCTACAGGCTGGAGGAAAGAAAAAGAAACATTATCTAACAATGTTTGTGTAAAAAAAATGACCCCAACACAGCACTTTGATTGTAAATAGGGGTTCTGAAATTGTGTAACTAAGAGACTGGTACTTGATTTTATTTTTTATCTGGTCATAAAAATTCCCATTTTTTCTCAAAAATATTTTAAAAGTTCAAAACCTTGGTCGGAGCTAATGTGATACGTGGTGACTAATGAAAACAAAACCTATAATTTGATTAAATCTGTTTCTAAAACCTAATTTAAAAAAACTAAAACATTTTCCAGAATTTTGCAATTTGAACAGCTTATTTGGACTTAAAACAACATTGTTATGGGTATCAGTTGCCACATAGCTGCTTAACCTCGGCGATGTCTTTGAAATATTAGAATTCAGAAAAATTTATGGAAAATTTACTTCTGGAGCAGGCGAAAACTATGGCCTTCTTCATGGGGGATTACCTGCATGATCTCTGCTATGGCCACTATGTCGGCCACAGAGATCTGGTCTCCAGCGATGAAGGGTTTGTCTTGGAGGAAGTAGTTTTCGAGCAGAGCCACAGACTCGTTCAGGGCCCCCAGCGCAGCATCCATCTTCTCCTTCGGCACTTCACTGCCCATCATCACTGGAAACACCGCCTGGACAGAGCAAAAAGACATGTATTAATGTGCAGAATTTGAATACTGTAGTTGTGCAGCCCAGGACCTCCTACAATACTGCATCTGGAAGTTACAGTAGGATCAGGACAAGCAGGCAAAAATCTATAACCACACTTCTAAAAAATTCAATCTAGATTTGTTAGTTTTGGTAAGAGTAAACGTTTAAAGGTCCTATATTAAGCAATTTTGACTCTTGTGAGCTTTTAGCCATGTTTAAAGCTGTTACCTTCTGAAAAACATATCTGGAGTTGTGTTTTGTTTCATTCACACATGTTTGAGTAATCCTGCATTATTATATCCACTATGCCCTTTGTTTGGTAGAGTGGAAATTCCAGGGATGCAATTTTACAAATGATTCAAGTGTACAGAGTTTAAAAACACAGCTATATTATTACATATTATTATATTATTATTACAAATTAATTAGTGGAACAGAGTGTCTTCTGTTTGAGAGAAGAAGACAACCTGAATATGCAACATGTGTGAATGAAACAAAACCCAACTCCAAGTATGTTTTTGATGAGGTTACAACATTATAGCTGTAATAGTAATAGGGTTTTATTTTATCTTTAGAATAATTTTGGTTTGTAGACATTCTAGAAAACCTCTCAAGTAACAACGTTTGGTTCCATCTTCTTTGTTAATCTCCTCATATATGTCAATAGTATTTACATATACATACAATCTGACCGAGCAGCTGTCTTTCAGATCACTCTCCTTTGAAATGTACCACCTTGTATTGTTTTAACTTCTCACTCATGATTGTCTTCAGAGATGACCTGGTCACACCTCACCATGTGACCCACCCATTCACTTGGTAATGTATGGTGTTTTGTCATTCTTGCATAAATACTGCGAGCTTAGAGGCTCTGGGAAACTGGAGAAAGCGAGGGGGACAGTCGGAGAGACTTGCTTGGGACCCAGGGAGGCTGGCAGTCCCCATATCTTTTGCTACAAAGAATAAACCTGGTTCTATTCCATAATTCACAAGGCTTTGGAAATTGATTATTGCAAAAAAAAAAAATAATTCCATGACATAACAGATCAAAAAATAGCATAATATGGGCCCTTTAATTGATGGTCGTAGTATTTGATTTGTCATATTTCAATTACTGTGAGAAGAAACATGATTTATTGGGAATTGACACAGTCCTCAAACAACAGCAAAATACATAATTCACTTTCATTCACACCGTATATATTCTTGTAGCATGTGACCAGCTTTATGAAATTAAGCCTTCTGAATGATGAAAGTTAATGTCACATAACGGACAATTTACATTAAAGGACCATATTATGCAATTTATGATCTATGATATAATGTCCTCATCACAAACAGCACATGGCACTTTCATATTGAGCAATGTGGGTTAACACAATGACTGGCGTCCCACTGTGGCACCTCCAGGGGTCTCCTATCCAAGTACTGACCTGGCCCAGTCTTGCTTAACTTCTGAGACCTGACAGGATCAGACTTTGATCAGCCATTATGGCCACCATCATACCATGGAACATTCCAGGCAAAGCAATAACATCTCCATGGAAGCAAGTAAATAGCAGACCCTCCACCATTAAAAGGTATGGAGTGCACCTTTAAAGTACAGATACCTAAAATGTATTCTTTTGTAGAATACTTTACTACTTTTACTTACTCTAATTGGAGAATATTGTGCAGAACTAGAGTAAATTCATGTCATACCTTGAGGACGAAGACCTTGGAGCCAGTGGCGCGGAGGTTGGTGTGTTGCCAGGACAGGTACTCGTTGACCCGGGCTCTGGGCTGCAGCTCAGAGGGGAACCAGTGATCAGGGGCCTTGTGTTTTTGCACCATGTACTCCAGGATGGCAGTGCTGGGCAAAGGGAGGACATACATGACAAAAGGTGCAGTGGGTACAATGCTGAAGTCCAGTGTTTGTGTAAAGTTCTGTTTTAGAGCTGATTTTACTCAGATAGAAATAACAAATATTATCTTTGGTAGTACTTGGTGTGGAAGTTTTGAAAGCCACAGCTGAATTCAATAGGGCTGAATAGTTTAATTAGGAAAAAAAAAATGGAATTGCAATTTTTCTGACTAGTATTAAGATGAATAGATTTGCGTATTATATTACAGTGGGAATTCCTTTCAGAGTCCACCCAACACATCAGGGAGCATCTAAAAAAAACTGAACTGAAAAACACTCAAGCATTTCAGGGCACGTCTGTAGGATTCTAAACTTCAGGATGAGAAGGCTTTATATGTAATAAGAGGGGATATTTGGTTCTTTGCAAAAGATACAGTATTTGGCAGTCTTTGCGATTTACCAATTCATCTGTGACCATTCAAATTGCAAGACTGAGATTCGAGTGTGGTGTATTTTGCAACTCTACTATTGTTGTTAATAGAGATGTAATGATACCCAAATCTCTCAGTATTATCAGGATATGCATTTCACAGCACAATTTTTTTTGGTGATATTTTGTAGATAGGAAGCTTTTTTTCTTTTAAAAACCCTGACAAGAATTTGGTGTGAATTATTTCCATCATAATCCCAAAAATTCAAGTAAAAAACATATTTCTTCATGTTGTCTGCTCTGAAATGAATCATGGGATATGTAGCTCACAATGTTTATTAACTATTGCTAGTATAAAACAATACATTTAAGCAAAGGAACTTGTAATTTGATATATAATGATGGCCCACAATATTATTGTGAGACTTTTGATGATACGATTTCACAATATTTCAGTTATTGTTACATCCCTAGTTATTAAACGGCCCATGTTACCCTAACATTTGATCAGTCTTATAATCTTGTGTCCTCACCAAACACATACCTGGAGTTCTGTTTTGTTTCATTTTAACACACAAATCCTGCATATTTAGGCTGAGTTCTTCTCTCAAACAGAAAACACTTTGTTCCACCTTGTGATGTCATGAGGTAATACGGAAGTGCTCCACTGTGTTTTTAAACTCCATACACCTTCACTAGAGTAATTTGAAAGATTTCAGCCCTGGAGTAAAAGGTAGCTGTGAATTTGCTTTATCACAGTCAACACAAGAAGGAACAGAACATTCTGAGCTTTGGAAATGTAGCCAGACTGATAATAAAAGGTTACTCAAACATGTGTAAATGAAACAAAATACAACTCCAGTATGTTTTTGAGGAGCTAACAACGTTCTATGGCTTTAAACTCACAAGAGTCAATTTTGTGAAATGCCGGATCTTTAACATGTTGCAACAAGACCACAAATAGTATATGATCACTCAAAGATGTTTAAGATGATAGAAAGCAAAGAAAAAGCAGTCTGTTGTTGTGAAAGACAAACAAATAAACACAACTCTTTAAAAACAAATATTGAATATGCATGTTTGAAAGGTCAGATTTACCTCTCTGTAAGAATGAAATCTCCATCTTTCATAACGGGAACTTTCCTTATTGTGCTGATCTTCCCGAATTCCTCGCTGAAGTGC